TTTTCAGCATCACTATTTCACGTAGGCTTCACTCAAACTTTTCAATTAAATTTCAGGCAATGAAATCATTGACATGTCAGCGAATCTAAATGAGATCGACAGCGGGACGCGGATTAGTGTCGACAACGACTGGACAGATGGATTGACATCAAGGTGAGCCTAAGGCTAAGTAAATTATGTATATACGGCAGCGTTGCTGGAGTTTTGTTAATTTAAGTATTTCTACCTTTTTTTTTGTGTGTAAAAGTTTATTAGAATGCAACTAGTTTTAATAATTTTTTTTGTATTTTGCAAATAAAATGTTGTCCTTGTAGTTTTCAGTTATGTACGTGCATATATTATTTTCACTTTAAGCTAAAATATATTAGGAATAAGAGATAAACCAACCAGTAGCATAGCAAGTGCACTAGGCTGGTTGGCGAACAGAAGTTAATAATCTGCATCTTTTTCTTTGAAATCATAGCAATAAATTAATAAACAAAAGATTTCCAGCGACAAAATATTGATATTGATATTCGACCTTGTTGTCACTCATACGCCGTGGCATGCCAGCAACTTGTGCTAGAAGACAGGCATTTTATTGAACTGCCATTCGTAGTAGAGCAAGTACTTTAACAATTATTTTCGTAAATTGTATTTCGTTTATCTAGTTTCAGTCAATAAATTACACTTTAGGGAAAATCCCAATTTTTTAAGTTGCACAAAAAAAACGCCGAATCACGAAAATTTATGGCGATCTCGTTTCTACAAAAAAAAGTTCTATTTTTCTAGCAAGTCAAGTTTTTGAGAAAAACCTGTTGAAGTGTCAAAAAATGGCAAAAAATCTAATTTTTTTTAAATAGAATTTTGACGTAGTTTTTCCGAAGAAGAAAACCTCGTATTAATGAATCGTCTGATGAGTTGATTAGAGAGGGATGAAAATTAAAAAAAACGCTCAGTTATTCAATAGCATGCATTTGTTTTCGCACAAATACGAAAATTTTAATTTATGAATTTATTTTGAAAACAAGGTGATTTCATGAACAAATCAACATTAAAAATTCAATATCCCAGATTCAACGTCAGCCAGAATTTTGCCTCTTAACACTTTCCGCTTTCTGGAATGAAATCCTCAAACATTTTTTTTCTGGACCCCCTTATCACCGCTTTTCAAGGTCCAGCAATACTTCGAAAGCTTGTGGCGGTTTTATTTCCTATCCTACCACTTCTCCTTGGTGGCTAAGTTCTGGTGGAATCATTCGCCATGTTATTCGCGAGTGTTTGTTCTTCTACTAAGTTTTTTTTTTACTTTTTCACCCTTTTCCACTCAATTCATTGACATGCGGCAGAATCTGTCAGGCGAATTGGATTTTCATTAATAAATGGTTTTTTCTTCGTTCCAATTAAATTTTTAATTATTTTTTTGAAGTTTGCCATTTTCACCCTTTATCGACAATTCAACAATTTTTTTTTTCTCAAAAACTGGATGTGCTAGAAAACTTTTGTAGATGCACTTCAAGTCAGCATCAAAAAATCTATGATATGAGGACATCCCGGTTTTTTAGATAAAAATACGACCAAAGGTCCCATATAAAAATAAGAAGCATATCGGGCTGCAGGCTGCGTACTGTAGATACTATACCACAGAACACTGCTTCTTTCGCTATCACGGTAAGACGAACCAGTCTTACACGAAGGCTTGTCGATTTCGAAGAAGCGCCCTAACATAGTCTCTGTGGATATGTTGCTCTCGCCGGAAGCAGACTTTACTTCGTTGATAGCATACAACTTAATCAGTTTAAAATATAGAATAAAAAGCCCTTGTAATTGCTAGGCTACATTAAAAGCCTTCGCATATAGGGTGAGCGGCCACACAAAATAGACCACGTCAGAGGTTGCATTGTTTATGACAGCCACTTGAAGCAGATAACATGGCGAATTTCTACAAAAATGGCAAATTGAATTCGCCTTACCAAAAATCCATATCTTGTGCTCCAAATTCGTTCCCTATACAGATATTTCGAGGCTACGCCGCTTTTTAATTTTTCAAAGCCTTAAATACTTCCATAGTTAGGTCGCTCTTTAAGCAAACGCTTGTTTTGAGGTTTTGAAGTTCTTCAAACAGTTTGTTAATTGTTAAAATATTGAACTAAACTTTCGAAGATATAGCTAGAAATCAAATGCTTTTTTACGAAAAAATATACTTTCCGCAACTTAAAAACTAGCAGCTTATCAAACCGCTTTACTTTATTCAAGTATCTTTTTATCCGATTATGTCATGGGAGCTTACCTGAAAGAACTCCTTATCTAAGTGTCTTTAGGGAGGTTAATTAATACTTTGCTCTCCTTCCTCTGCGTAAACATAAGCTTCTAATAAAATATGGTTATCCAGAATTAAACATAAAGAGATCATTTCAAACAAATTGATCTCATACGAGGAGACATTTCAGAATGCTACTTGACTGGTCTCATTTCAGAGAAAAAAAATATTACAAACTTAGTTGTCACCAACTGTTTTTCAAATATTTCTTTAGCAGAATGCCTGCTCTATGGCTAGTTGTAGTGGTGGAAGCTCTATCTCTAACTTGGTTGATAGCGTAGTCCTCAAAAATGCCATAACCGCAACAATGGGTTACTATTGGCTATATAATCATGACACATATACACCTTTCTTAGTATCAATTTATCCATCTTTAGGTAAGTGTGCTTGTATCTAAACAGCTAATGTACCACAGTTAAATCTTTACTAAGAATAAACACTAACACTTATATTGGTTTCTTATATAAAACTTTATATGACAGCTATTTGCAGCTTTCCGGTGCGGTAATAGACACCACGTTTCACCCTTTGTAAAGTTTCCGCATAGAAATAGATATACATATGCATATAGCACTTACATGAATATCTACAAACTTTTGAACAAACCCAGTTCATACCGTTATAGTTAACTCCTTTTATACAAACACTTTGCTTTTTACTTTCAACTTTTCCTTTCTAAGACATCGCTTTTATCTTTCGTAGATTGAAAATTCGTCGTGCCATGCCCAGTGATACCGGAAATTATACATGCGTGCCAACGATAGCGAAGACATCCTCGGTTTATGTGCACGTCATAATAGGTGAGTAGTTATAGTATATGTGTGTGACACGTACATGCATCCATCAACTTGCTCATAAACATACTTACTTGCTACACACATACATCTATGTATGTATGTATGTGGGAGTCTACATTGATAATAACCCACGCACGAAAGATATATATAAGTACGTGGTTACAGCACCGGAAAATAAAAATGCAACTGGAAATTAAAATGTTTATTAAATCTAAGAAAAGTATGGGTTAAATGGTTTACAAATAAGCATTATTTTTTTTTTTTTTTTTAACAAGAAAAATCTAAAATCTTGTTGCCTGATTGTTTGTAATACTGTGAGTCCAGTAGGCTTTCTTCCGAGGCGAAATACTTGGGTATTATCCTTGACTCCGAACTTACTTGGAAGTGTAACGTAGAGCAAAGAGCAAAGAAGAGCCTAGCAGCGTACAAAACATACCTGTAAAAGGGCCTTCGAGAAAAACGGGCCACCTGAAGTACTCGCAACGGGCGCAGCCACAATAAGGGCCCAAATACTAAGAGAATTCAAACTGTGGACGTAGACTTAGTATGGGCAAGCAGCGGTCTTGAAGGTAATTAATAATGAATGGCATAACGGAATCAAGGCAGACTGTGTTTTTTTTTTGCAAACTCAAAATTAACCTTTGTTATATTAAAATTGAATTGGCTTTAAAACCATACTAAAAATTATTATATAAAATGTTATTATATAAAATGATATTGTTTCTATTACCTGGCTCAAAAACTATTTACTTAATGAATTTCAGTGCAATTTTCGGAAGCTATACCGTAGAAATCTTCCTCAAGCTCAAGGCTACCAAATAATAATAGAATTGGAAAAGATCAACAATTTTGTTGTCGCCCAAGGACGGTTAGGTGTTAAAAATTACATTTTATACTTTTTTACTCGAATATCATTGAAAATTTCCAATACTTTTTAAGGACCAATATATACACGATCAGATCCTCGAATCAATTCCTTTCAACTTTATAAGTTTAGGATAAAAAAGAATTAGCTTAAGAATCTCGTGGCTTTAAAAATAAATATGTATAGGTGTGCGACATAGAATGCACATATTTTTATGTACATATGTATGAAAAAAAGTCAGATGCATTGCTTTAGCTCGCAGAGCAACAAGTGTCGACAACAACAACAACAAGAGCAAACAACTTATTATGAGTACCTCATCCACTAGATCTTAGCGAGCAACAAAAGGCATCACAGTTGATGAGCTACTTTACGATGCCACAGCAACAGCAACGTGAAAAAAGCAGCAGTTTATTGTTGTTGCAGTTGCTGGTAAGCTTTTGTGCCACTTGTGCTAATGCGCTGCCATTTGCTATATGTATGTATGTAGTTATATAGAAACATCTGTGTGTTTGTCGTTGCAACGCAATATAATTATTGCACTGATGAAATGCTGGCGGTGATGTTGATAGTGGGGTCGTAAGGCGGTGCACTGCGCTGTTTCCACTTTGCCATCCTATTCAACGTGTTAGCGCCCCAACAATGCTGTTGCTGTTATTTGAATTTTTTCCAACAGCTACAAAGCTCATCTCACTCTCAGTGAGTACAAAAGGGGTATGCACGCCTAGACGTATGCTATACAATACTGATTACATGCACTCTGGCAAATCGTAAAATTTTGCTGAGGGTAGAGTTTACTATTAGCTGGGGCATTTTTTTTTTTTTTGGCGAACAGGAAGTCCGTTTATCCTTCTTAGCGCTCAACTGTAATGAGTAGTTTGGCCGAAACACCCTGTTGCGCATAGCGGATGGGGGTCGGTTGGAGGCGTTTCACACATTTCCCAAATGTGCTCGTTTAACATCGCTCGCACTCCTAGTTAGTGTTAGAGTTTGCTTCGTCCCAAAATACTCGATTGCATGTTCCACGCTAAAAATCTAGTTTTTGGGGGCAGCCCGTTAACATATAATAACAAGTTGAGGAGTATAAGTTTGGGTGAAAACGAACTTTACGAGTATATACCCGGCGCACGTATTTAATATCGATTTTTTTCCAAATTTCTGTAAACTACTTTTATATGATAGGCTTGGGCGCCAAATCGACTAATGATTCAAATCGACTATTTTTGATTTGAATGAATTTCAGTCAGCGCTTTTATTTTATCATGTAACGAAGTTCTTCCAAAAGAAAAAATAAATGTAAATAGCAGCAAGAGTTTACGGGGTGTGCATGACGGGTTCGATCCCTGCTGAAGTCAAGAAAAAAGGAGTCTGATGAGGAGATGTGGTGATGTCTAAAAAAGCAACTATAATGTCTACCGCTTAGACTTTGTTATTTTTCCTAACAAAAATTGCGAGGTAAAAAGTTCAATACCAGTGGTGAAAAAATAAATTTTTTTTTTCAAAGTTCAAAATTTTTCGGATTTTGCAACTTCAATTTTTGAATATCTGGGGTGTACTTGGAGCACATATTTTTTCTAAGTTCAAAAATTTATATCTTAAAAAAACACCTTTAAAATTGCAGGATATTTTTAAGATGAGTTGGATGCGTTGAAAACAAAGTTCAAAAATTCTTTATATTAAAAAAAACACCTTGGAAATTTCAACATCTTTTAAGATCAGTTGGAGGTGTTGCAACAAAAATTTAGCCAAACATTTTTATAATTTTTTGGTTTTTGCAATTTTTGAAATTCTAAAATTCTGGGAATTGTATAATATTTAAATATTTTTTTATGTATCTTTCTTTGTATAGCGATTATCGTAACTTTAATAGTTTTCGAGATATTCAAAAAATAAACTTGCGAAATCCCGGAAATAAAATTTTTGCACAAGCTTGGAAAAATCATTTAAATATTATTTTTTTCGTTTTGCAGAACTTTATTAGATGATAAAAGAAAAGTTCGGACTGAAATTAATCATTCGCAAAAATGGTGGATTCCAACCATTGCACTATGTGTGTAT